CATTCTGTTGGTTCTCGTTTCATTTTAATGGACGACAGTGCGGCAGAATAGACTCCCTCATTTCGACGATTTTCTTAAAGTATGAAAATTGTTGCAAAATGGATTAGTCGGCTTGGTCTCCAGACCTAAATGCAATAGTGTTTCGGGCTACTTTAACAACAAGTTGCTGATTTGAATCTTTATTGTCGTTACACTGAGAACAAGGATAGCACCGTATCTAGTCATCGCTTCCCGTTGCAGTTGCCGACAGCTTATTTGGCATCATTAAAACTTGATTTCACTATTGCATTGCATCTGTACTAACTGATTAGTATATTTGAAATCCCCCTCCCCGAACCAACTATTGACTCCTAGTACATGAAAATCCAATCACTTGACCAAAATATATTTAGTATAGGTTTTTCCCCACACTAACTATTGTAGGGTTTGTGTCTTTAGTTTAACAATTTTTTTACCACATGAACAGCTTGTTAACACCTAAATAAATACCAGTAAATACCTAAATTGCCCAAAAGCAGTCAGAATCACTGGAATGTGAAAGAATAATGTGTAAAGAAATTTGTTTAAAATTAATTTTGAATATTTTTTTATTATTTACATTTATATAACAAGTTATTAATAAATATTAACAATAAAAAATTTGTTGTACAAAAAGTCACAAAATTCGCAGAAATTGTGTCATTATTGAGAATTGAGTCATTGTTTTTCCTAATTGAAATTTAAAAACAGTCAAAATGACTTCCTTGGGCAATCTAGTGTTAAGTACTAGGATTGTTCGGAAGCTTTTTGGATCCATACCCTTGACTTCTGCGAGCAGCAATCCAGCCGTCCTTAATCTCGGTTAACTCAGGCTTTCCTTGTAGCTTGCATTAAAGAAACATGAAATAAGCATCAAAATAAGGTATTCGTAAACCTATAATTTTTCTTTAATAAGTTGGCAACAAAATGAAGTTAATATTTCATGTCCAACCACTGTATATTGTTAAATGCGCATGCGTTGATATTCAGTATTCTTGTCATAGAAGAATTAGTTGTTGAATTTGTGAAATCGAGCGATAGAGTAGGTGGTTGAAACCTTGAGTTGCTCTGAATTAGCGAATCTTTGTTGAGCAAAGATCTTGATGAGCGGCTCAATTTCAAAAGGAGGCCTGAAAATCAAGGATGACAAGGCTTCCTTCTTTCCCTGGTTAAATTCAAATAAAAAAGTGTCCGTACTTTATATACCTGGACTGCTTTGGGAACACGAAAGTTTTTTGTGCGATAGTTCTTTGTTTTCTGCTCTCAGTAAGTTAATTTTCGACCCATTTGTGTTCTGTATTTGCGATTAGCATTTATGTATAAAATATTTTCATAATTTCTTAGGGATTTTCATTTACTTTTATTATTAGTGTATAAAATTTCAATGCAAGATATAAATTTAAATTCTCAGACTGCCACTTAGAGAACTAAAAAGTCGGAGAACTGGATTACTTAAGAAATAAGCATTCTAACAGATGTAAAAATTTGACTAAGGCAGGTTCTTGAAAATTTAATATTTAGGTCACAGACTTAAAAGTTTCAAAATGCATTTATAGTTTATTTGAACAATTTATCACAAACTGGAAGAAAAAAAATTTTGCATTATAAAATTTACAATTTAAATATACATTTCAAAAAAAGTTAAATTTGCAATTTAAATGTACATTTTAAAATTGTGAAATCTGATTATACTGGTTTTTTCTTTTAATTTCTCAACAAAAATTAAACATAATAAATCTGCTAAATTCTGATAGTATCTTATGTTTGAAAACAATTTCGCACCATTTTGATTCAAAAGAAGCAAATTAAAATTGCTGTTCATAAATACGTGTACAATAATCTTGAAAATTTAAATTATCAGTTTAAAAAGTTTAGAGTATTTATTTATTCACGCATATAATATTTGCTCCATTGGGATTTATTTCCTTTGATTCGGAAAATTGAAATTGCTTGAAAATTTTGCTTTCTTTTGAACTGACTATAATTCATGACGCGGAAATTGAAATTTAAACACTAATGATTAAATGCAAATTTACTATATAGTGTAAGTTATTCTTTGCGCATGAAATCAAAGATTTGCACTAAAAAATCAATTTTATTTTAGAAGGTTTTAAAATGCGTCTGTTTAGTAAAAGTATCCTATCTAACATTAACCTTGTGAGCATAGATAGTTGATCAGTTCAGTTCAAAAATTATTGAACAAAAGCATAAATAATTTTAAATGAGTGGTTTAGAAAAAAGCTAATAAAGATGATATAAGTAAAGAATTTATTTTTGCGATTAATATAAACTTCCGTATTTTTTAATTTTATAGTGTAATATTACTTTCTAATTGGACAAGAACTAAACCATTGCGATAACTAAATTTTAAAGCAAGACTAAAATAAACTATTGAAAGGTGTTGAAATTAAAGTTTTTCAAGCCTTTAAACAAAATTATATCCAGAACGATGTTTCAGTCTAAGCTAGATTTGTTTCTTGAAATTTTGAAATCTATTCACTTTTTACAGAATAATTTAGTTTATGTTGCTCTATAGTCAGAAAATAATCCCTAAAAAAAAACCATTAATAATTTCCTGAAAAGATTGATTTTACGTTTAATAAAAATTTTATAAATGCAGGATTTTTCGAATCTTTTTAACTAAATTCTAAATTTTTGCTTCCAGATAAAATGATGACTTTTTGAACACATTTTTTCAAGCAAAAATTCGGAATATTTAGCACAGTTCAAAAAGAAAAATTTAAGCTTATATTATAATTTCCTTTTAAACTTTCCTGTAAACTATAAAATAAGTCTAGTTTTAACCTATCTCTTAATATAACATACATGATGTTTTTCTAGTTTAAAAAATGTAACACAATCACAATCTGTCATTTCGTAAAAGTAAACAAATTTTGCTATATCTCAGATACAAAGATATATAAATGCCTAATTTTTCTATACATCAACATTAGACTGCTGCCTTAAAATGAAAATAAAATCTGTTGCAGAATTACATTTTTAATCAAATAATCACAATTTTAGATCTAAATCAGTGATAAAGATCTTTATTAGCCTGTAAACTTTTTACTTTCACATTAATATTTCGAATCTCTCAGATCTAACAGTGACTAATTTTTTCGTAAGTTACGATGTCGCTATGTGCAAATTTACTTGGTCTTTAATTCTGGTTTTTGACATGTCTAAATTGTTTTCATGTCTTAGTGACTCCCCGCCCTTTTTTGCTTCTATTTTTTAAACTGAGTTTCTAGCGTTTATTTTAGTGTGTAAAATAGTATGGTGGTTTATAATAACCGGCTTTTATATAATTAAGGGAAATTAGCTTTGGATATTACTGTGGTTTCTTTAATACCACTCTTTTCCTTTTAAAATATTCCTTATGCAGAGCTGTTAACTTAAGCTTTCAGCTGAGCCTTTTCCACAAGTAATTAAATTCGTTATTATATTTGCTTTATCATTTTATTGATTCAATAAATTTCATTTAAAATTATTTTGGTCATCTTTCCCATTCCACATTTCCATTCATCAACAGGACATGCTTCCTGAAAGGGCGATATTAGCTTAGCACTGGTGCACTTCAATTTAAGAAACCGAATTTCTTAGTTTATATTATTTATGATTAGATCTTAAAAGCTTACATTTAAATGCTCATGAAAAAAGCATATATATTTTCTGAAATATGAAATAAAAATGCATTTAATTAGGTCTTTAGCTTTTGAATCTTTCTTTTTTTAAAGTAGTTATTGAATTTTCTAGTATTTTATCCTTTTTTTATATATACGGAATGATTTTATGCTGGAAGGAAAGCTTATAAGTAAAGTGTAATAAATTTCTCAGTTCTCATTTTTGCGCAAATTCACTTCTCTTAGGAAATAAATTCCTACTTGAAAAAGCAAAATTCCTCAACATAAAGAATTAATTTGTAAGTGGTCCAATTTCTTTTATTTAATAAACTTTTTAAGCAGTCTAATATTCTATTTTAATTATCAGTATCATTTATTTTGTTTTAGAATAAAGCATCGGCAAATGCAAATAAACGTACTTTGAAAAAGATACATTCATTTGCTTTGACTCAGAGCTTGGATGGAGGGCCCTTAGGCTATTTAACTTGGGACCCCATTCTTGTTAGTCTGGCCCTGCCTTAATATTGTATATGAATATTCTTAACTATGCATATTATGCATGTGCATGCATGATATTCACTATTAGCTTCATTGCGCTTAAACTAATTATTAATGAATTGAAAATGACTATAATATCTACTAAACTTCAGTCCACTGCTGTACTGATCTATTTAAACTCTTGAAAGGTAAAATAAAAATAATTAATCCCTTTACAAATATTTAGCATATTTAAAAATTATTTTTTGTTATGAGGGAAATTTAGAGTGAAAGTGTGACTGTATATTTTAATTTCGTCCTCCTCAAAAATTGGATACCTGCGACGCCCATCCGAAATCTCAACTGGTTGGCTGTGTAAATTGAACTTGCAGCTACATGTCAGTAAAGTAACACATGAAACTATCTACTCTTACATTTTTTAATCACTGGGCATAAACTCAGAAGCTTATCTCCATATGAACATTGTTTCAGTGCTTTATTGTCGATCCAGTTTTACCTTAAAATAGCTTGCGGAACTGCGTTACTTTCTTCACGATATTCCTCTATAAATTTGTCAAAATAAAGAAATTTGCCATTTGTAGATTGTTCAAGGGTTGCAAAGGGTGCAATAATTCAGTACAAATATTAGAGAACAAATTGTAGAGTACAAATACAAGATTTCTTTTTTGAATTTGTTTCAAATGTTCTGTCTTAAAATACAATGCAAACAGCAAATTGTAATTATTTTATATAAATGAAACTGACATAAAATCAGTGTTGTTACTTTTAATTTAAATGTAATTTTTCCATTAAGTTTACAAAGTTTAAAATCAATGCGATTTTTTTTATTTATTTATTATTATTTCCTTTTTAAAGGAATGGTGACATTAAGCCGGCTCAGCGGAAGTCACGTGATTGACGTTGAACACGTGGGAAAAATATAGCGTGTCGGTCGGACGAGTTGGGCGTTTGTCCTTTTCCTTTTAAAGTCCTTTTTTGTTTACATTTGTTTTTGTTCTTTTAAAGTATATTTAAGTTTTTAAATCCACCATCTTTAGTTTAATATGACTAACAACAGCAGAATATACGTAGGAAACTTACCATCAGAAGCGCATGAAGAAGTTTTGAAAGATGTTTTCCAGCAACAAACGGGCGTTCCGCCTAAAAATATGTTTCTAAACAAAAATTATGCCTTAATTGACTTACCAGAATCCATACCTGTAGAAAAAGCTATCGAAGTTTTGAACGGTAAATAAATATATGTTTTCAATTTTGATTCCTGATTGACTACTCTGATAAGTATTCATATGTTTTCTTCCTGATATCATAAATCGTGTGAACTGCGATAAAAGCTAATCCTTACAATTTTGTTTCAATTCTGTTTTCCTATAAAAGTTTCCGATCCAAAATTATACCTTGACTTACCACACTCCGTACCTCTAGAGAAAGCGATAGAAGCGGTAAATAAAAATATATATTTTAATTTCTGATGCTAGATTGAATAAATTGATAAATATTCACCACATGTGCTTGTACTTGATATCGTAACTCATGTGAACTGTGATAAGAAATGTTCCTAAGTTTTTTTTGTTTTCAATCTCTTAATTTTAATTCTGATTACCTAGAAATGTTTCTAAACATCAGAATAATTGTATTCTTTAATTGACTTACCAGATATTGGTTGAGTTATATCTAAAAAAAAGCTTTGGTTTTAAACGATAAACAAATAAAAATTTATTTTTCAGTTCTGATGCGTAACTGAATATTATAAACATTGATCATATGCTTACAACTGAGGAGCTATGATGAAAACTGTTCTTACAATTTTGTTTTAAATCTGTTCTTGATTTCTAACTTTTGTTTCATTACTTACATTAATGTCAGGGTTATATCTATTGTGGTAAATAAGGGACTGAATTTCAGTTTCCTTAATTATGTAGATATCTGCAACATTCCAAGACTGGTTTATACCTACAGTTTTGCTTAGATATTTCCGTATTATGTTATGTGGCAGAATAATTGTCATATATCTTAACTGGAATGAAATCTTAAACTATAAATAGCAGTTTCTAAGACTGAAACTTAATTTTACCTTCTAGTCAAATAGCTACTGTTAGTTTATTATTACTATTAAATTTTTTAAATAGTTTCTGTTATCAAAAATATGCATATAAAAATTTTTGCTCATCTTTATTTACTTTAAAAAAAATAAAGCGTATATTTTCTCATTCTGGTTGCTTAGTCTGTGTTATTGCCAAGGTTATGACAATTATTACTTGGTTGGCTGGCAATCAATATGAAAAAAAATGACTGGCTAAGCAAGGAACTGGTAGAGGGTTTTCTGTGATGCAAAAAAATCAAAACCCGGATATTTTCTTCTGTTTTAATTTTTTGTTGAACCGAGTATATGGTAAGGTTTCTATATTCGATAGTTACGCCAAAATAATCGCTAAGTTTTGGGGATATCTGGGCAGAAAAAAACTAACTATAAGAGTATAATTAGTAAATATACCCCGAGCAAACCGCTAGGTTTTTAAAATTTTTTCAAGTTGAAAATTTGTTTACTGCTTTTGCAATTGTAATTAACTGAAGCAGTTAGTTATTAATAAGGAAATATCCTAGAACAGGGATAGCGAACCAATGGCACGCGACACAATATTTTGGGCACTCCACCGATCACAATTGTTACACTATGAATTGTTATTACACAAATGTTATTACGCTATGAAGCATGTGTAACAATTAAATTAAAATTCACAAACAAACAAAATAATAAACAATTATTAATGAAAAAATTAATACTAAAAAACGATAACATTTAAAAAACAAGCTAACAATAAATAACTCGCAAAAAAATCAACACTCCTGCTTAAACTAACATCTTACAACCTAATATAAGTCATTGGTCATCTAATCTGCAACAACAGAAGTCACACTGATGTTACTTTAAGTTGAATTACTTGTATAACTGAGACATTGCAAAATGTATTTTTTTTTATGTAAATAGTTTTGAGTTGATAGTATTTAGTATTATTATTTTCCCAATAATCAAGAAGTCAAAATTATTTGTTGGCACGTCTATGACCTCATTAAGCAATTTTTTAGAGAAAATGGCACATTGGTGTATAAAGGTTCGCCACCCCTGTCCTAGAATATAGTTGAATTTGATAAGTTTTATTTATAATCTTTGACTCTGCCCTGTTAATTCTAAACAATATGGCAGAACTGTTTCTTTTGTCATTGCCTATTTACGACCTCATAATTTTTTATGTGCAACATTACTATTTAAATGCTGTGTTTTATTTTGAACTTTATGAATTTATAGTCAATTCCTATTGATAGCTTTTAATTTTAAATCAAAAACAGTTAAGAACTGTGATTTGTGGTAAAACAAGTATTTAGAGTTTTAACTATTTTTGTATAGTTACTTATTTTTGTTTTCGTTTCATACGTTATTATATTTACTAATTAAAGTTTCCAATTTTTGTTAAATTTATTTAAGGAATTTACCTAATGAGATTTTTTTTTAATGGTACAGAGCATTCGTAAATGCGAATTATTGCATTTATATACTTTTGCTCCTTGGACTTTTATGTTATAAGTAGTAAGTATATTAAAGTGCACCATTTTGGGAGAAGACTGGTTCCGTGTTTTGACCCTCCTTTCTTTTCGTCTACTCAGTTTTATGGGAATGTAGTAACTAAAATATTTTCCCTTCCATAATATTTTTTTTATTGTGAGAAATATTTTTTAAAATTTGTTCACTCTTTTTTAAAGAACTATGCTTAATCCGATTTTGAGTTTCCTATAATTTCCAAAATTATGTTCTTTGCGTTTTTGTCAATGTGTTTTTTTTTTTTTTTTCCTTCATACAAGTAATTTACTTCATGCAAAGTACAGAAAATAAAATCAATAAATACACAGTAATACTTAATTATTTGTCACCCTTCTCAGTGATTTTAGATATTAATTGAAAGCGTTTTTGGATGTTTTATTTATCAAACTAAAAATGCTAGGCACTAAGAATTAGTAATGTAACTGATTTTGGCGGAATGCTGAATGTTCGGCCAAATATCAATGGAAATAATCATTATCGAAGAATAATCAAAATTTAGCTGTATTATTGGTATGGAGTAAAGGGAAAAAGAACTTTAATATAAAAATGTTTAAGAAGATAACTGGATATTAAGATAATTAGAAATATTTCAGGTTAAAAAAAAAGTAACAGATGTAAAAGAAAAAACTAAAGTTGAAAAAATATTCTTTTAATTCTTAAAACAAAGCTTGAATGTTAAAAATATTTTCTGGGGGGGGGGGGAAATTATCCCAGAAGGACTTTTAAAAATGCAAAATTATGATAAGACCTTTATATTACAAAAATTACATACAAAAGCAAAAAAAATTTTTTAGAAAGAAAATTTTAAAGCTAAGCGTTTCAGTTTTCTAATTACCGTATTTTCAGGAACCGTATTTCAGACCTATTAGCATCATAATAAAGTCTATAAAATCATTTTTAATTTTTAAATGATAGCATAAGGCTAAAAATCTCACTTTTCTTAAAATCTAACTTTTTCACATTGCTGTATTTTTTGAAAAGAATGATCATAAAGGAATAATGTTCACTAGAAACTTTCTTAACTCATAAAAAAAAGGTTTTTGTAAAAAGCTAAAATGAGAAACAAAAAGTGTTCTTAACATTGAGAATCGCAATATTCTATGTTGTATCACACAGGAAAATAGTGACAATATGTGACAATAGCAAATATGTGTAAAAAGTATTTCTTATTATGTATAGTAAAAAAAAAAAAATTTGATTTCAGATTATTCTTTATTAAATCTATTAAAAATTCTCCCAAAAAATCTTAGTCTAAAGATAATTTTCCAAATAATATTTTGCCGAACATTCGGCAAAATATTCGGCCTACCCGATATCTAGCCAAATGGCTGATTAGTGGCCATATATCCCTTACATCCCTGCTAAGAATTATGCTAATGCAGAGTTCTCACTAGGAGTAAAGTGCAGGGTGCTTCACAAAAAAGGGCACTTATTTAACATAGTAAAAATTTATAAAATGTGTAATATTATATAATAACTGAATTTGATCCTCAACCATTTTTAAATTACCCTCTTACACTGTTTTGTGTTTCAAGATGAGATTGTGAGATCAAAATAAGATAATATTGTTGCTTTTAATGTACGGACATCACTGTGGCGAAGATTTTTAAAAAAAAAGTAAACTGAGGAAATTGATAGACTATAATTTAACGGAAATTTTTACGACATTTTAAATGTGCATTTTTTTAAAAACTAAATTTATTTAAAAAAAAATTTAAGATCACTCAAATTCATTACTCTCTCCCCAGAAAAAGAAATTTGTACAAATTTAACCTGTTGAGAATTAACTAACAAAATTAATATTTGCAATAGTAATCAGAATTGAACCCTATGGCTCAGATTTTACCATAGTGTAATTATTTAAATAGTCATTTTTTTTAAAAGAAGAATGCGACTAAATAGAATGGTGGCTATTTTTACAAAAAGGACATAGAGGGTTCTGTAAAGGGCAGGAAAGGCGGTCTGCCATTCGAAAAACTTTTAGGGAAAACACTGGCTTATGTTCAGTAAAGCTGCCAAGTTATGGTTTAGATCAGTGGTTATCAACTGGCGGCCCGCAGACCTCATCCAGTTCGCGAAGCCTTTTTTGTGGCCCGCGAACCAAAATATAATAGTTGTCTTTTTTTTTTGGTCAATTTTCGTTGAAAATCTATGTAACTAAAATATTTTCCCTTCCATAATATTTTTTTTATTGTGAGAAATATTTNGTAGATTTAAAAATTTTCGCAAACTTTTGACCGGTAGTGTAAGTTTTATATTTTAACAATTATTTCATCCAAGCAATATTTATAATTTTCATAAAAATTATTAATTGTCAATTTAAATTTTCAACACCAAAAATATTTAATTTTCATGGTCCCCTTTAAATTGCAATAAGTATTTTCCTTATGGCTGGTTTAAATATAGTATTTGGTTAAAAAGGCTTAAAAAATATACTGCGGTTAAAAAAAAAAGACTAAAGTATCTAATAGAAATTTTTAGATTTCTGGGGAGCTGTAAAACGTTTTCTTAGAATTAATTTCTTGCTCTACTAATAGTATGTTGATATTTATATTTACTTTTTATTTTCTAGGTTTTGAGATAATGGGTTCCCAGTTATTGGTTGAGCCTTCATTAAATCAGAATCGGAGGTATGTTTTATACATTTATTTTTTTTCATTTAAAAGTGTTTAAAAAAATATGTAGAAGCATAATAATTTTCCTATTAGCACGTTGAATGCCATGGGGGTCACCTGTGACCGGCACTGAGTTTGTTCGTGGCGCCACGGGGGTCAACTGCGGCTGGCGAAGCCAAGATTATTAGAAATATATAATTCGAATAAATTTTTAATGCTTTTAATTTTTTTATATTGTTACTAAAATGGTTTGACGAAATTTATGCAATGCATACTGAGAAAATCATTTTGGCCTCACGGGCAAGCCATGTAAAATTAGCGTGGCATTCAGCGTGTTTAGGGATTTTCAAAATTTATTTTTTACTGTAAAATTTAAAACTAAATTTTGTGTTTAATACATTTGCAAAAGAGAAAATGTAATCAAAATTAACTAATTCTCAAGTTGTTACTCATAATTGAAAAATTAAATGCAGATCTTACTTTTTTAAAATTAAAATAGCTAATTAGAATTAACTGAAAAAAATTTTGTATTTTGAAATTGTAAGAATGCAATAACGGTGTAATTTTATAAATGCGGCTAGACTACTTGCTTAATGTTAATTTGTGTGTATATAGAATTCAGAATATTTATTTTAGATGATACAAGTTAATCAAATTGGGTAAATACCTAATTTTTACTAATTCTACCTAATCAAAAAAAAAAATTTTCCCCAACAGATTCTCTAACTTTTTATTTATTTTCAAGCATAAAAATAAATTTAAATCAAGCATCCACACCTTATTTTCTGTAGTCTAGCACATGTTAGAGATAGTATGTATTTTAAGCACCATGGTGTTTGGATTTTAAACACAAAGCTTCTAAAATCCAAACTTTAATATAGTCTCTATCTAGCATATTGAACATCTCCTTTGGCTTTCACTACTATGAAATTTTATCGGCTATTGTTACAGTGGAAAACATCAATCTTTTCCTTGATTGGAAAAATGTCACTAATTTTTTATTTATTTATTTATTTATTTATTTTTAATCCCTTAAAGTAGTTTTTTGAAGACTACTGCTTAGAAGAAACGTAAACTCTGGTACAAATTATACTATACTGGAATTGCTTCTCGTTGTTGAAAACATTTTTGATCTAATGATTTAATTTTTATGTATGTGCAATTTTAATGGTTCAAGGAAATGACCTAAAACATACTGTTTATAAATGTACCTATTTTTTTTAACACATTGAAATTGTCTGTAAAAACTAGGTATCTGTCATCTGTTCAGAAGAGGAGCTAATTCAATCTTAATTTCTCTTATTGTGGAATATATCAGCAATTTTTTAAGCTGATCTAAAAGTCTTTTGCTGTATTTATGAAACTGCATGTACTGCAGATTAATCTGCATGTAAAATAATTTCATTTTAAAGACTGAAAATTTTTGAATTCTAAGATATGCATTTTTGCATCTCTTATGTTATGTAAATTCTACAATTTAGATAACTTAAATTTTTAAAAAAATTGCCAATATGTGGGTAATGAAAATCTCAAAATTAAGGCTATTTTGTGATGGATTTTTTTTTTCTTTTAATTTTGAAGAATCCAATTAGAATTTACATTTTTGAATTCTAATTTCACAACTATAATCTATTACAAACCAAGTAATTTCTAAGATTACTTTTTGAAACTTCTTAACCCAGAAATGTATTTAACAGGAATTTTGTATAACTATAAAAATCAATGAAAACTTGAAACAATCTCATTAAATGAATTATAAATTAAATTCAGTATTTTTTTTGTGTTTGTGATTTAGTAAAATTAACTGCTAACCATTGGTAGGTTTTGACGTCAAAAACTCATTTTTGTCACGACGTTTCAAAACCTGTCAGTGTCAAACTTGGGGAGGAGTTTATTATTGGTTATTGGGGACATTTTATTAGAGGTCACGCTTCATAATAGTTTAAATCATACACAATATTTTCATTATAATTAATAAATATCATTAAAAATGTAGCCAAAATTGTAACTGTTAACTGCTTTTTCAAAAAAACAAAAATGGGACTATTTATCTTTTAAGTGTATTCTTTGGAATAATATAACTATTCAGTTAATTGTTATCAATCTAAATACTGATCTTAATTATTTTATGCCGCGATTTAAGCAGATTTTTTAATTAAAAGTAAAACTTAAGTGGTCAGTGATATTCTTTTTGATTTCAATATTTGTAGTTAATGTTTTTATTTACAGTGAGTTCATGAGGCATCTGCAGTCTGTATTTTAAGCTACGAAATCAAGCAAAAACTTACTTTCTCTGAATTAACATAACTTTTTTTTCTCTGCGAATTTGGATTCCTATGATATCAGTGTTTTCACTACAGCGCTAGAATCTCGCATATTTTTTTCTTTTCTCGCATTAAAAAATAATTACCGCGAGAAATTTGCGCATTTTATAAACCAATTTCAAAATTAGCGAATTTCTCGCATTTTGAAAAAAATTTCTCATTGCGCCATTTAGAATAAAATCCGTTTCACTTTTCTTAATGGATCTCTCATTATTTTCAACAACTGCCCCATTATCTAGCTTCCCTATTTACCAGTATTGTTCAGAACCTTTAAGAACAACAGAACACCATCCCTCCGAACCACGGAACCTCTTTCAGAACGCATTTCTCTGCAACCACGTGTTTACCGTAGGTAAGGTTTCTTCATGTAAGACGTTCAAATTTTTTGCTCGTTAATGTAAGATGGACAAATACCTTGTAAAGCCAATATCTTCTACTCCGAAACGGACAAATGAAAATGAAACAAATGTGGGTAGAAACGATCAAAACGAAACAAATACGCATTTGGGCAACCTAATGAGAATAGCTGATGAAAAAGTAGGTGTAGAGCATTTTCCATATGATGATGCAGCAAAAATATTCAATGCTTTAAAAATTAGAAGATGTTAAAAATGCATTATAATTAAAGAATTAAAGAAATGATTTTTTTTCAAGTCTGTTTTTTTTTTTTTTTTTTTTTTTTTTTTTTTTTTTTTTTTTTTTTNGTTTTTGAGAAAGGGTGAGAAATTCTCACCCATTTTTTTTCTACGATGAAAACACTGTATAGGAAGTAGCCGCAATCTGTGCAATATGATTGTCCCCACTCCTCGGTTGGTTTAATCAGGAGAGCAACCCAAAGTTGGACTAAGTTAATTTTACTTTTTTCGTATTTCGCTCTCAAGGGAATTTGAAGAAAAAAAAATTTATGCAATTATAAAATTCGTTTATGCAAAGATGATTCGATGAGAAAAATAATAATTTTTTATGTAATTTGATTATAGGGAAAAAAAAATTTTAATTTGTAAGCTATGCAAATTAAATAAATTTAAAAAATTTAAATTTATATGGCAAAATACAAAATTTGAACGAAATATATTTGGTCAAACAGTTCCTAAGAAATCTAATTTTAATATCTGACTTTTTTAAAATTTAATTTCTCAAGAATTATTCAACCTATTTTGTTCAAATTTTGAATTCAATATCATAGACGTCTAGAATAGATTGCTTTTTTCTTAAACAGAATAGTACCATTTCTCTTTTTGGTTCACAGCTCATTGCAATTTGTATAATATACCAAAATTTGTATATTTTTACCCCGTTAGTCTATCATAGTATGGTAATTCACCACAGTTACCTTATAAGAATGAGTAAATTTTCTCCAATATTTCTTATTTTAGTTAAATCATTACCGAATGTAATTGAGCATCATTGTCGTCAATAATAGTAAGGGAATTTTTTTACGTTTCTCTTATACGAATTCGAATTAGTACAGTTTCTCTGTTAATTTTTATTTTTAAATTTATTGAATAACGTGAATTCTTGTAAATTCACGTTTTAAAAGTATAACTATGAATAAAATGAACGTGATTTCAAACAACTATAGAAATACTTAGCATATGTACTTAATTTCAAAATGAATATTTTCGTTTTGATAATTTAAAATTGTTATACTCATGTCAATCTCCAATGTACTATTATGAAAACGCAATTCAATAAAAATTTCGACAAATACCCCATTGTACTTGCATATAATTCCGTCGACTATTATCGCCAAATCTGGAAATTTTAGAAATGATTATTTTTATTTCTTTGTATGTAATAAGTTATATTTATATTTTGTCTATTTCTTTATAATCAATTACTACGTAAAAATAAATTTGGAAGATATCAAAATGACCTAAACGCAGTGTTGGCTGTCTTCGACAAATTAAGACATTTCAAGTTCTGTGCACAGTTTACTAATTTTATAAAAGTTATGTGTAGACAGGGGTCTGTCCAGACATTTTGTGAAAGATTCGTTGTTGGAAAATTGTGAAAAAATAACTAATTTGTGAATATAAAATAAGCGTTAAGTCACCTTTCAACCAGGGTCCTGCTTTTGTGAATTTGTGCAAATAGGGTCCTGTCATTGCAAAAACTTTTTTCAATGAGTTTTTAAATTGCAAATTGATACAAGATTATGCTCAACACTGTAAAATTATTATTAAAATAAATTTTAAATTTTCAAAAATGAACAGTAATTGCCGCTACTAAATTAGATGCAACATACAAATATTTGGTTTTTAGTCTGTACTGCTGAAGGCAGAATATTCATTTCGGACGAATAACGGAAGAAGCGTCTGCCGAAGTCAAAACTTGTTCGTTTACATCAGTCTTTCTTTTTTTTTCCCCTGGGAAGCGTTTATTCGATTAACAAAACAATAATAAAGATAAACAAATTTGTGAAGGGTCCGTTAACGGACCCAAATTTCTTCTAAGCAGACCACTGTTCTGTTTCACATACAGATCTGAATATGCACCGATGGACTAATAGTGTCTAGATTTTCTAATATTGATCCTTTATAGGGCCAATATCGACCAACATAGGGCCTATAGTGGTTGAATAATGAATATAAAATATCGGGTGAATCTGACAATTCTATATATGACCCATGTCGGAAGATAACTACCCTTTTAAACATTTTGGAGCCAATATTCGTGAATATTGGTCCT